AAAAATAAAAAAATCATCGTAAAAAGAACTCACCTTACCAGCTGCTGACCCACATTTAGCGCTGCTGCAAAGTGTCACAAATTCTTGTGAAAAGTAAAAAAAAAAAATGAGCGCCAACTACTATAATAAATGTGCCAATGCCCGGTGGCTGTTAAACTGCACACCCATTCAATGCGGTGCATAATATATGTACATATGTATGTGTGTGTGTATAGTTATAAAGTAAGTATACAAGTATAGTCAACATGCTTAAGTATTTCTTCGAATAGTTTATCCTGCTTGTGGTAGTGGGTGCCACCGGCAAAAGCAGCGCCAAACCAGAGATGTGGCTGGCAGATGTACTTACCTAAGCGCGCAAAAACCTTGTAGGAAAAAGTTGAAGTCAACATTGAAGCTCTTCTATTAACCCGGTACTTTGCTTTGATAATTTTAATTGTTCGATAACAAAATAGTTGCTACAATAGTAAAATCAAGTTTAGCAGTGAAAGTATGCAGTGCGAAGTTACAGCAAAAAGGCGTTTCAAAGCCTTGGTTCGGAGCTGTAAAAGAATGAGTTAAGGCGAAATTAACTGCGAAACGAAACTAACGAAAAGCCATATTTTTTCCCTACTGGCATTTGATTTACAAACCTATGCACCTGGGTATAAATTAGGGTGGTCCAAAATAAGTGAAGTCTGAATTGCAATGTTATCACCCCTAAGATTGTCCTATATAGAAAAAAGTATACCCTATTTTTTATTTGGAAACTAAAAAAATATTTAAGTGGGAAAAAAACAACTTTCCCTAGAAATGGTATATAGTTCTTGAAAATCAATATTTTTTCAATCGGAAAACTTTAATTCTCTTCAGGAGACTTCCAATAACAATATTTTCTGGCATCCACTCGAGGTTTTGGCGGACCTATGAAATATAGTTACTATGAAAAAATGGTTAAATAAATAATCGGATATTTTTATTGGGAATCTCGTGAAGATTAACACAGTTTTCCCATCGAAAAATATTGATTTTCAAAAATTATATACAATTTCTATGAAAAGTTGTTTTTCCCATATAAAATGCATGGAAAACATTGAGCGCTTTGAGCTACTTCTATATATTTTTTGATTTCAAAATAAAAAAAATAGGGCTATAGTTTTTTCGGTATAGAACAATTCTAGGAGGTGAGAGCATAAAAATGCCGTCTTTACTTTTTCACATGTATTTTTGGACCACCCTAGTATACATACTACATTGATTTTTATATGTGTACACTTAGTTTAAGCGAGCGTTCCTCCAACTATATTTTTTACCTATAAAATATTAGAGGTAAATTTTTCATCCAACATTTACTATTCATCCAAATCCAATTGAATCCATCCCAAACCCAATAAATGATGATGCCGCTACTACGAAACTCAATGAAAAAGGAAGGATGTTTTTATATGTATTTGTGTGTGTATGTGCCAGTTAACTCAGAATGTCAAATAATACCAATTTGTGTCACCTGCAGGCAATAGCACGTGCGCTTGAGTTTATGAAAAAGTTCACTTGGAATTAAAGCTAAGAATATTTAGAGGAAGGTAGGAAGTAGCAAGTGTGAATAACGTCGGTGTAAAGCCAATTCGGTGCGGGGAAAAACATATGTATTTCGCTGAAGGGCAGGAAAATTGTGCATGGCTCAAATAATAGGCTTATTATTTTTCTTCGAAAGCAGGACATAATTTTATCTTTAACCCTAGAAAGATAACCGATGAAAATGTTGATGAATTTTTTTTTAGTATTTCTTGAACTTTCGCGAATTCTACATGAAATTCAAAAAATTGTTTCTGGTTTAATGAATTATATCTTTTTAAAAAATAAGAAAAAAATTGCTGTGGAAAATATAAATAAACAAACCTTCTAAACGTCAGAGTATACATATTTTTGTCGCTAACTGTGCATCGTGAAAGGTTGGCATATGCAGCTTATCAACGCCGAGGCAATTGAATAACTCAGCTGGCATGGCCGTAAGCTCCAGCAGCATTGTTGTTTCATTGTATTTCTATGCCACCATGTTTCGTGCTCTGAACTGAGTCCGTTAACGGAGGTTCCGTCGTGCAGGCTGAATTTTCCGACAAGATCCCTTCCCTAGGAAGGGCTCGTAGATGCACTTTAAGCACTCGTACGGCTAGCGTGCGAAGGGGCAATTAGTGGATTTTGCTTGATGATAATACACCTCTTCATCTAATCACTATTGTGACGGAATTAAAAAAAAAAAACTCAACAACTATTATCAACCGCTTACCATATTTTCTCATATGACTACGAATTTTTTCTGCCGTTGCGGGGTACTCCTTCTGAGATGACTGAAGCCATAAAACCAAGTTTATTAAAGAAATGGAGGGCTGTTGTATATCTAAGGGATCCTACTTCGAAGTCGGCAAAATAAATCGTATTATTGAGTGAAAGTTTAACAATTCCAGGTACTTGTTTGAAAGGAGGTTCATATACTTATATGTACACAAATATATGTACATACATACACATGTAAATATAAAAACCTTAAAAATTGGGTTGCCACGGCGTATGAGTTATCAACATTCAGTCCGATAAAAATATAAGCTTCAAATAGCCAATGGAACTTTTCTGTTTATTAAATTTTTGCTACGCCTTAGTGGAGAAAATTCATCGTTTCGCTAGCTTAGAGTAAAAAGTTGCTAAGTCCACTTTTTGTGAAAACTCATATTTTGATATAGTAGGCTAGAGAAATTGAATACGCATCGTTTCGAAAACTATAAAGGTACTTGTTTTATTTTTTCCTCTTCATAAGCAACAAAAGGAAAATTTGCTAAGTCTAAAAGAAGCACCACAAATCCGATAAGGCCAAAATAATACGACATCTTTTAATAGATATCGAATCCTTCTGATTCTTATGGAGTTTTGCTTTGCTTTAAACGCGCAAAATGTTTGATTCAAAAAAGTCTTGCGAAATAGTTAAAGAAAATGGACTTAGCAGCTTTTCTTTATAAGCCAGCGGTTTACTAAAATCTTTAGTTTTATAAGGAATAAATTTTTATTTAGTGGGGTAGAAAATATTTCTTCAAATTTAGTAGGCTTAGTAGCTACTCTACGTCGACGGAATCCTAAACAGATGTGTAGTGCTTACAGATATCACACTAAGAAGGAAATTTAAAAAATTCTGTCAAAGTAAGCTTTCGAACTAGGGGCTTTTAGAAGTGAAACTTCTTTAGCGGCGGTTGGTTGGTTGGTTGGGAGTAAATTGGCAAATTCAACGGAAATTGCACACGAAAACGGAAATGATTGGGGCTGAAACAAAAGCTTCTTGAGTGTATGCAGATGGTATTAATTTAACAAAAACTTGCTAATAAAGGGTTAGAGAATAACACTTAGAAAAAGACCGATACAAAAAAGAATGTAAAGAAGAATACGTATGCGTAAAGATAAAGGCAAAAATGAAGAACAAAGCAAATACAAACACTTTACTTATATAAGAGCAAATGTGAAGGGGAATATGTAGATGAAGAAAATGACAAACATAAAATTATAAAACAAAGAAAATATACAGAAAAAGATGAGGATGATGATTACTTTAAAGATGGAGATGGAGGAAAAAAGATTAAAATAAAGGTAATTATAGAGAAAAGGGTATAGGATATAGGACTCAATCTGGGAACTATTTTGGGAATTTAAAGATTGTCGCCATTCTCGGGACTTATCGATATAATAAACGATATTTTTATTGGTTTTGTTATCGATATTTTTATCGAATTTTTATCGATATGATTATAGATTTTGCTGTCGATATTTTCGAAACTTTTCAACGCTTTTGTTATCTATATTTTTATCGATATTGTTACTGGTGTTGTTATCGATATTGTTATTGTTTTTGTTATCGATCATTTATCGATTTTGCTATCGATTAGCTATCGATTTTGTTATGGACAACTTTAATATCGATTTTGCCATCCAAATTGTAATCGAATTTGTCATCGTTTTTGTTATCGGTATTTTATCAATTTTTGTCGATTATTTACCGATTTGGTTATCGATTATTTACCGATGTTGTTATCGATTATTTGTTGATTTTGTTATCGATATTATTATCGATTTTCTAATCAGTTTCGCTGCCAATATTATTATCGATTTTGCTATCGAATTTGTCATCGATTTCGTTACCGATATTTTTGTGGGTTTTGGCATCGATATTTTGTTGGTTGTTATCGATAGAGTATAAAGATAAAAATGAAGAAAAACGAAAACAGAATAACATAAATGTAATTAGAACGAACAGAGGTAGAGGTAGGGATCTATGTAGATAGAAAAGAGACAAAAAATATAACCTTAATTAAAAGCAGATGTGTTGTATGTATGTATATTGGTTATGAGACAATATAGATATACATAAATATAACGTAAGTTTCACTTTTCCAGTGTGGCCCAGGCGCACTTACAATTTTTTTGTATAGATATCAACCTGCATATGTATAAGTTATGGCGTTTTTATTTTCATCGAAAAGTTTTGCCTTCATATTGTCCGCTTCGCTCAAACATAGTTCATAGTTAATTGTAGATGGCCTTCTAGAGGTGCGCTGGACCAAGGTAAAAGTGTCGTAATACTCATTAATCCTTTTTTTCTCAAAGAGCACTCGAATGAGCGCACTTATTCAATTGAGCTTGTCAACGCAAAAATCCATTTTCAATCCGAGCTTTCGCGGACATTCGCGTCAACGCTGTGGCTTGTCGCGGCGGCCTTTTTATGTTTTTTTTTTCTTTTCAAGAATCAACTTTTGATTAATGCATATTTAATTTAATTAAATAGCATTTCCAGCAATCGATTAAAAATTGTCCTTTCATTACTTGTCTCTTTTTTTACATGACATTCGCTGGGTGACCGCAATCAATGCCAACGCCACCAACATTACCGCATACAACGCCATCAACGCCAACAACAACAACAACCACGCCACCAACGCAATGCAACCCCACGCAATAATAACAAAAAAACAATGTCCACCTGCATTATGTCCTACGCAAAATATTTTCATAATGTGATCTTTATGCATTATTATTGTCTGTTTGCTGGGGCGCGCGCATCTGTGTGTTTGTTTTGCACTCGAGTAGCTGCAACATCCGATGGTCATACACGTTTATCATCCCTACCGCCAACCGGATGGCATCAATCACTGTCAAGCGGTGAATGGTCATTGCTCGCATTTATGCCTGCCAGCGCCGCGCATCAACGAACGCAGTCCGCGCATCTCCTGCGCCTGTCCCGCCGGACTCAAGCTGATGGAGGATCGGCTGATGTGTGTCGAAGATTGTAAGTACATAGATATGTATGTATGTATGTATGTGGTATGTGTGTGGAATTGTTTGCAAACATATTGATGGATTACTGTTGCACCAGTTGTAGGTACGAGTATAATGTGATAATTCACACTTTGTCACTTTGAATTGGCAACGTTGTGGTTTTGTGTGTGCATAGGTATGCGTGTGTGAAAAGAGTTTGAGCTTTATTGCAAATTTCTTCTATATTTATATATTTACCTTTTTGTTAGATTTTCGCTAGCTCTTTTTATTGAAATTGTAAGAAAAGTGTTTATACTTAGCTTAACTCATTTAGTGGTGAGAGAATAAATAAATATTTTAGGGTAGAAGAGCTTAAATTATAAGCTAAATAACAAATACTTAAAATCATATAACACTTAAATTTTTTATTATACATTAGTTTATGTTTGTGTTATCTAAATGAAGAAATCCTACATTTATTATTTGCTTTTATATTTAACACTTGTGGCGTCACGTGACTGCGCAGATATGTCGGAAAAATTGACTTTTTTCAATTTTCTTCCTTTTTTGACCTTAAAACCGTATGCAGTGAACATTTAAAAAAAAAATTAAACACATACTTCTGCTCTTCTTGCATAAAGGAATCCATTTCCATGGTGACAAGAACCGAAAAGCGCGATTTAGTTTTTTTTAGAGTTAATTAAAACTAATGCCGAATTTCCACTAGGCATTGAAATGACAAAAAATATAAGCCATTTAAAAAAATGCTATGTGGAAATGAAATTAATGACACTTTTTTAACGTAATGACTCGAATATTTTTTAACGGCCAACTTTGTCATTTGTCATTTTTGCCATTTAATGCCTAGTGGAAATCCAGCATAAGGTTAAAAATTCAAGAATTTTACTTTTGAAGATCATTTTGGATCAAAAATTACTTTGACCTTTAAAAGTAATATTTTTGATTGCTTGTATTTTTTAACTAAAAAGATCATGTAATGTAAAATCCAAAAAAAATAGTAAATAAAGCACCCACGAGTACGAAACGTAGCACGTCTGGCTATCGTGTGAATTTTTACATATTTCATTTATCCTGTTAGGGCCGAATTCTTAAGTAAGTTTTAAAATTTATCTGCCCTTTAAACAAAAATCTTCCTCTTAAAAAACCTACTGGAAAAAGAGCAATAAGTCTAGTAATATTTGCTCATCTGCAGTTTTAAATTTTTTTAGCTGAAATCATTTTTAAAAAAGGTATGCATTTAATACATAAAAATCAAATCGCTTATATAACTCTTCTCCGCTTCATAACTCGGCTGCACAATTTTTTTTAATACAGTTAAGAATAAATTCTGTAGTCAGTGATATCACCTAAACAAGGAACTAATTTATAAGTCACTGTGACGCTACAGGTGTGAACAAATTTATTTACGAAATATTCCTTTTCTTACCAAATACTTTAACGATTTTTAATTTAGTTGCACTAAAATTGTGTGTGTATTTGTGTGTTTCTAATTGTACATTGATTATTATGCCGTTATTATTTGCTGTTATTTATCGTTTGAGTTTTGCATTTTTAAGTCTTAATTTTAATTCAATTATAACGCAAATTTTCTTTTTCCAATTTTTTTCGTTTTATTATACACTATTTGAAAAATTTGGGACATCAACACGAAATATGTCAAAAAATATTGATGCAAACTTTATGAAAACTAAAAAAAAAAAAAGTTTCTCTGCTTGTGCCAAAAAAAACAAACTGCAAATCCAAATAGTGAGTTCAAAGAAAGCGTCGCAAGAGCGTCGCAAAATCTTGCCAAAGATGTCTAAATTTACCACCACCCGCGCTCCTACAACCAACAGCAACAACAACAGCAATAGCACTGTTCAACCAACAGCGACAGCGTCACACGAACCGACAGACGTAGAGGGTATGATTAAAAATATAAAAAAAAAAGTTTTAAAATTGGTTATGGCGACTGTTTGTCACTGGTTGTTTTGTTAACAATACTTATGTATGTACTTGGTAACAACTACTCACCCGCATCACCATTTGCACTCACAATTCAGCGCTTAGGTGTTATACATACATACCTACTTACTTACACTTGCGTTCTAACAGCGTCGTAGTAACCCAAAGCTCTGTTGAAATTTTATGTGATTTCGTGCCTTTCGTACTTTTATTTGTGTCAAATGTTTCTAAATAATTTAATATTTCATTTTTGATCTTTGTTGTCACTGTAATATTTTTGTTTAATTTTCTTCTATTTTACCATGGATTCTTTTCATTTTGTTATTAAGTGACACCGTTAATTTGCTTCGATTTCCCTTTGTTCGCATTCCATTTGTGTTATGTACGTTCATCTTCATCAATTTGTCAACACTTCGTTTGCATTAATTTTCATTACTTTGGTATTTGGGTTGTCTTTGCTAGTTTAGAATTCGAATTAAACACGATTTAAGTTGTCAATTATAATTTGTTGTTTTAATAACTGATCTTAATTGTTTCATTTAGTTGCGCTTCGTTAATTTAATTGATTTTTAATTAAGTTTTCATTATCCATCCTTTTTTGGTAATACTTTGATTTTTGATTTACAAAGGTATACACGCTGTCAAAAGCTTAGTCATAGAAAAATGTTCACTCGATTTGTTGTACTTGTAAACACGTTAACATTATTTATTTCTTCATTTATTTATTTTTTTAAGCAAACGGTAAGTATTGTACAATTTTATATCATCAAGTTAAGTGTGTACATAATTTATAACTGAAGCCGTGTAAGACACTTAATATCAAATGCTACCACTGACAGTAGGCAAATAACTATGCGTCCATACTTATTTTATTAATTAAAAAAATTGCAGGTTCAAGTGGTAATATGATCATGCAAGTGACCGTTTTTCCAATGGATACTGCTATTTTATAAACTAGAAAAGAAAAAAAAATGTTGACATAATTTTTGCGTTGGTTTTTCACGAAGACACCCTCACGCTACGAATAAGTTTCTATGAACAAATTTGTAGTGTAGCGCACGAAGTTTGTGGCGATATGCTGTATGTCTCGAAATTTTTTGTTAAGATGACCTAAAAATTTTGATGTGTTTTCGCACACGAAATGGCTTAAGATAAAGTTGATCCCAGAAGGATCCAAAGACACGGCCGAATACAGACAGATATCGACACTATTCTTCCTGCATATCCTTTCGTCATTCAGTAGCTATGGGATTAGCTTCATTTAATTTTTTTTTGCCGAATCATCGCTTTTCTAGAGTTTTTCTGCTTTTAGGGTATACTTTTGAAAGAAAACTTCATACTAACCGCTTTTTTTTAAGAACAAAGTACTTTTGACTTTTTTTATACTTTTCGCAAGCATTAAATGGTATTATAATTTTGGTCCGATGCCTGTAAACACCAGAAGAAGAAGAGATATATCCACGATAATGTATACCTATGTAAATGATCAAAACGTCGAACCGAAGCCATTTAGTATGGTATTCGATTACTCGCTTTTTTCCCAAAAACAGGTTTCGGAATTATTTAAAAAATTGCAGTTTGAAAAAGCCGTTGTCCGATTTGTAAATTAAGAAAAAACTAGATAGACCAGGTTTTCTTCACATAGCTTTCATACACTGAAAATGCTAATGTTGGTATGAAATACCAAAAATTATTCAAAGTTTTTTTTTTAGATCAAAAGCTTAACAAATAATAATGAGTGAAAAATTTACGTTTTGTCATGTTTAAAGTTTTTTTTAATAGCAGAAATTTATTTTTAAGCTTCTTCTTCGGGGGGTGGAGTAAACGCCTAGATCTCTCCATTTTTGTGTCTCCATTTGGCCAAACGTAGAAAACGATTAAGCGCCAAACATTCATTTATTGGAAACAAATATGATATACTGTTCATCCCCAAAAACCCTAGGATATAATTTTAAAACGACCGCTGTGGTGCAGTACTAGTTGAAGTGCACCCTACCACTCCGCAGGGCCTGGGTTAGAGCCCAGTTCCCAACCAATATCAAAAAATAAAATAGAAAATAAACACAAACGTTTTATTCGCCCCCGGCAAGCATTGGAAAACCTGCGAGTGAATTCAGGAATCGGAAGAAAAGTTCGTCCAAACGCCAATCTATTATTATTATAATTTTAAAACTTCCCTTAATTTGGGAAAAGCCTTGGCCAGCTTCGGGATTTCGAATGGATCTTCCATTTCTAGATACTTCTTTAAGTTCTCCAATGTCCGTCAAGTATTCATGGAGCAGTTATTTTGCGTGCTCAATTTCAACATTTGCCACATATTAATTGCTCCGGCAGTGAAGTCTGGCCACAAACGTATGGACAACCGCATTCTGCCACACAATTTAAGGATGCAATCAACTTTTTCTGTGCGGATTTCATTATTTGGAATTTTTTTCAAACTAATGAAATTTCAATCCTTGTATGGAACCGCAGGATTATAACCGAATTAATGTTCCTGAAAGATGTGAAGCCTTCGGCATACATATTCGAAGACAGCGCTGTCCTTACTTGTTATTAATTGAACACAAATGTTGGGGAGTCATATGAGTATCTGTGACGCAAGCACAAAATGTAGAAAATATATGTCGTCGATGTTTTTGCAAAACCGCCAATCGGCCAGTTGCAAAACCGCCTAAATCACTGTTCTGGCAAAAATGATATGTGGTAACACTGAACTCCAGACATCGAGATTTATACATAAAAATCGTTAAATCGTAAATAAAGCAACAGATTTGTAAAATAATAGCTAGAGAAAATACCGCCTATCACGGCAATGCCTTCAAAGAATAAACAGTTTTTTTCGCTCTCCTGTAAAATTTGAGTGCCGTAAGGTAGGCGGTTTTGAGGTTTTGTTTTTCTTACTTTCTTGTGTGGAAAATGAGGGAAGCGCCAATTTGGTTATTTGCAAAGCTGCATTTTTAGCTTTGCAAAGCTGCTGCAATAATAAGCTACGCAGATGGGTATCAGCTAGTTCATGTCGAATGTAACTGTTTCCTAAAGCAAATGTATCACCAAAGGTCCAACACTAAGTAAATCCATTATGCATATTACATTGAGGTGGAAATTTCACTCATCCGTATTTCATCTTCGAATATACCGTACTATATACATATGTATGAATATCTGCTACTTCCATATACCTGATACCCGGTGATGCATTAAATCAAGGATAATAAGCAAATCAAGTATCTACACATACATCAAAGGCAAGACGTACCTATTGCTTGCTCCTCTCAGAATTATCGAGCAGTTCACCCACCTATGCATATTACCAGCACCATTAGCACATAATTCATTGGAAAAACTCTCCCCCTCGCACATTTTGTTCACACGGATCACCATCTTACGTAAATGTAACACTCACACACACACACACACACTCCCAACTACACATTTGACTCACCTTCAAACGCAGCAATGCATATTGCTGTGCCGTAAATCAGTCAGCCGCCAGTCAAAGAGTAACATGTTGGTTGCAACAACAATCTAATGATGATGTAGTGGCAACAGAAATTACCTAAATACATACATGCAATCATACGCATATATGTACATACATCTGCACGCACTGGGCAGAGAGGAAGGAGGTCGTGGTGTGGATCCAGTTTAGATTGAATGCCAGCTTTGAAGGTAACTACTAGTTCGTGTCGATGCATTGAAGTGGAATTTCATTGCAATGGCGGCTAGCGCTGCAGCGAAGTGGTTGCTTTTGCTGTTTTACCTTCAAGTTGTTGCTGCATCAACGACAGCAGGAAATGTTGCTGATTAACGAGGAAGCATAAAATAACGACGAGTTGTGTAATAATAACGCGCTTAGCCATTCAGGGTGTAAAGAGCCGATATTCAAACGGAGGTTCGAGTCTTGTCACGGTGAGTAATCGAGAAAGAACATTGTTATGATTCAGGCATCAACTTTGACACACAGCTCGAAAAACGATCGATGCGTCTTAACAATGACGCAGGTTTGAAAATTTCCTGCGCTGATCCAGAAGTATTTGTTATGGTCTTTCACAGCTTCTCTTATCTTAGAAACAATGTGGTAAAAGTACCAAAATCATCAAAAATCTCCAAATTTGAAATTCTATAAAAAATGGAAACTCGTCAACCAATTTGAAAGGAGATGGCAAATTTGTATTGATATTAAAAAGATGAGAGCCACAATCAAAAGCTAAAAATATGCCTTCTTTATATATTCTTATTAGTTGTTTTTTCTTTCTCTCCGTGACAACATTGCCAGACGCTGTGCTTGCCATTTGCTGTGTATTTGCTGTGCATTAAACATGAAAACAGTCGCTAAGTTACACTAAGCCAATTAGAGGACTTCAGTTGTTATTAAGAAACACATCTTGTCCACATTTTATTTTCAATTTCAAAACGAATGAATTCTCATTTTATAGCTGCTCTCGAAAACTCATTAACTAGATTAGATTAACTACACTCAAACTCAATCATAATAGTATGTCGCCTCCCTTTTCGCAGATTAAGGAAAAAATTGTGAAGTGATATCAAAAACAAAAATAATAATTTTATATCAAGTGCTTATGTATGTAAGTACATATGTATGTATGTATGTGTACGTATTATAAGCATACTCATATGTATGCAGCGCACACATTAGATTTAAAAAGCATTTAGATTAAAAAGATATTAACTGTTACTGTAGAGATAAACTTCATTCTATATAGGTATGTGTGTGTACGTCAAAATTACATTTTGAAGCAAAATAAACAACGAAAATCCTCCCTGGGGAGAATAAAAATTACTTACTTATGTCTATTCAGATATGAATAATGAATAAAAGAGAAATGACAGCAATGATTCCTGCGTTGAAGGTTATGAAGGATATCAAATTGTAGCCAAGTGTTTATATGTACATTGGGGTGCCCATCGAAAAAAAAAATTTCCGAGATTTCAAAATCC